TTTTTTTTTAAAAAAAAAAAAAAAAAAAAGGGAATTTAAAAAAAAAAAAAAAAGAATCTCGTGTTTGTATATAGTCCTTTAGAGAGAAATCTTGTTTGGCTTTTTGTGTTTAATCACTCAACCTATACTAAGAGGAACTGAAAATGCTGTATTGAGGATGTTACTAGCTGTGCCTTTCAAATAAAGAAATAAGAAGGTTGGTTAAAACCGCGACTCAGCTGCTGCTCTTTGGGCCCTTGGTAAATAAAAGGGGAGAGGGAGGGTTCTGTTCTCCCCCCCTCGGGCAGACGCAAAGGACCTGGGTTCTGTACCTGACTGGTTGTGTGGCCGTGAATGGCCCTGTTCTGTGCCTCAGTTTCCCCATCTGTAAAAGGGGGGTGGGCCTTCATATTGTGGCTGACACAACTGAGATCACTGCCCTGCTGTGTATGTACAGCGCCCAGCACCTAGTGAGAGGCGGAGTCTGTCCCAATGGACTTAGACTTATAGACAAGAGAGGGAGGATGGGAGAGGGAAACAAGGCACAGAGAGAGAGGAGACGACTCACCCCACAGGTCAGCACCCTTGTCTGCTCAGCGCTGTATTCGCTGGTCGGTGCTGCCTTTGCCAGGTGCTCGGAGTGGTGGGCGAAGAACACTCCGAAGGCCCCGATCCTGCGCACGCTGCAGCGCTGTCACATAGCATCAGGCTGTGAGCGCTCGGTGTCACACGAGTGGATGCTCCGGCGGCCTGATCCCCCCAAGCCAGGGTTAGAGCTGAAGTTGGCCTTCCAGTGGCAGTGAGATTTCCTTGTCTCTCGGAGAAGAGTCTCTGTGCCGTTGGGGTTTTCAGAGGCAGGTAGGGAGCCTGAATCACCTTCGTTCAGGTGGTTGTCACAGGAGTTAAATCTCACCGTCTGTGCACGTGAAACCGAGCAAAGGGTTGATAGCCATGCTTAGACTAACAGGCTGTGCAAGGATTTGCTGTCTGGGCCCCAGCACCTTTCACGTGCTGGCCCTCTCTGTTCTCCCTGCTTCAGGAAAACCTCCCTTCCCCACTCTGCGCTCCCACTCGCCAGGGTCCAGTTGCCGCCATCTGGCCTCATACAAGCCATCAGCCCACGGGCCTTTCGCTGGCAGCGTGCGGAGCTCTGCAACTGCACCACGTTGTCAGCGTTCACCCTGCGCCCCGAGCTGCTGCTGCGCTGTGGGAGAAGCAGCTGCTGCTGTTGGTGCTTTGGGTGAAACAAATGTCCCTGACATAGGGATAGGCTGACAGCTTCCTGCAGGAGCAAGCTCTGTGATGGGATTTCTTGAGGGCTGGATGTTACGGCGCTGGGCCGCTAGACGTGGCTGGTGCAAATGATCTGTGCTGTCCTGCAGCTGTTTATAATGTGACCTCTATAGATTACGCACGACTAGTCCCCTCCATGAAATGCTGCAGGCCTGATACCTCCCCTGAGCATCTCATCACCTCTGGACAATCCAGACCCTCGCTGCCCTGGGGCTGAGATCACGCTAATGGAATTGGCTGCTAGCTCTTAATCGTAGCTGTCCTCTGGCTCCGATAACATCGCTCTGCTCTTGGTATCTCTTAGACCAGCTGGCGTGGGGAGAGTTCTGCTGCCTGGCGGCACGATCTCAAATCGATAGGGGAAAGCAGGCTCAGGCCCTGGTAACGTTGCGTGCTGGCTGTCGGGGAGCGTGAGCCACCAGGCCTGCAAACCGATCGCATTTAGCAAAGATCATCCCCTTTTAAGAAGATTGGTCCCATTTGGCAAGGCAAATCCTGCCTTGGGCTGCTTCGGAGAACGGTGTGTGCATGTGTGGAGGGGTGTAGACCATAATCCACCAGCAAATTGTGCAAGAGGCTACATAGTAAACATGGGTCCCTCCCCTCCCCTTCCCTTCCCTTGGAGTTTGTTAGGCTTGGCCTGAAAAAACGAGGTAGGTTTATAAGAGACCAGTTTGTGTCTCTGCTGCTCTAAAGGAGGCTGTGCACTTAAAATCCCACCGCTGCCTGAAACAGTTTTTTTCCCCTCCCTCAATAACCTCAAGCTTCTCTGTCAGCGATTTGGGGGGAGGGTGGCTTTGTTTTTTCATTTACATGTACCTTGTGCATTCGACAGCACTTTGCACCTGGAGCATTTCATCATTTCCCATGGAGTGTGTGATGGTCATGCGTGGGTGTGGGGGGCTTTCACACGCCAACAGGGGAGGGGAAAAAATGTTTTAAAATCTAGGGAAGTGGGTTTGTCAAATTGCAGTAACTGGTGGCTGTCGGATCTGAGGTTGCTCTTGTCAGTTTCAGAAATGGGGTTTAGAGGGCAGGTCCTCGATGTCCCTTTCACAACTGCCTTGCAGGGCCTTATACTCCATCTGTGGGCACAGCTCCCTGCACCATGGTGGCCCTGTATAATACTCACTTGGTCCAGGGTCAATCAACCGCATGCAGCTATTTTTTGTGGTCTCTTTTTTTTTAGTTCTTTGGAGCTGTTTTTTTTGTTTTGTTTTGTTTTGTTTTATGTCACTAGAAAGAGCAGAAGGGGGATCACAGACCAGCTGAGGGACCCCAGGAACTCCTGGGTTTTAATCCCAGCTCTGACACAGTCTCTCTTTGTGGCCTTGGTTGGGTCACTTAACTGGTCTGCATATGTCAAATGGGGATAATACTTCTCTGTCTGGAGAATTAATTAGTTGGTGTTTGTAAAGATCTTGGGAGATGGAGTGCTATATATGTGGTGTAATGAATGGCAAGTGTGTACACCACACTCTGCTGGAGAGAATCAGAACTGTTCCACTGTATGTCCTAGGCCCTATACTGCTAATGGTGATTCTCCTTTAACTCAAGTGGCCAGGGCATGTGAGTTCTGTTCCATCTGGCTGTGGTGTATGGCACAGGGACATCTGTGCTCAGTAGCCAGGTGTCTGTTATTGCATTAATACCAGGGAATAAAAAGGGAGGGAGGTGCCTTTCCCAGCCACTAGTGAGTATAGCCCTGAAACTGAACTGCAGAAGCAGACAGGATTCCTGCTCTCTGGAGAATCTAATCTCTAATCCAGCAAACTGGTGCTTCCAAAATCAACAATTCCACCAATACAAGGAAGCGTTTCCTTCCTGCAGCACTGGCTGGATCAGCCCCAGTGCATGGAGGCCTTCACCCGCTGGGGGCCTGTTTGCTGCCCGTGTGCATTAGACAGGAGCCACCGGCTGGGCACAGCGTTGGGACTGATGTGAAATGAGTTTTGAAGGGTCTCAGTCTGGCTCCCAGGGGACAGTCAAAGCACGTCACCAAAAAATCCCCACGCAAATTGTGCCTGCTTAGTCCTGTTGTCGGCAGCCTGAGTCGAAAAGTCAGGGGCTCTGTGGGCCATCGAGGCAAACCTGTGTCAGGTTCCGTTAAGCTGCAGCTCCATCTGTGTCTCGTCTGACAGCTGCCCCGCGGTCTTTGCAACATCCAGGAATCTAGGTTTCTAACGCAACTCGGCGGCTTCTGTTACAGCCACATTTGCTAAAGCAGTTTCTCTAGAAATAGTTGTGGGGACTTAGCTGGCTTTGG